TATGGCAGTGCGTGCCCTGAGAACCACCACCCCCTCCAGCCCATTTTCTCATACCTATTGACAGGTAACAAAAGGAGTCACAACCTTGCATTGAAGAGATCTGTTTGAATATGCTTATAATCCCTTGAAAACAGGGACTCCTAATTTTTTTTTAATAAAATTTTTATTTTCAAACAAACATAAACACACAAAACGTGTAACATAAAAACCTCTTCAACTATATACAGTGTGTTGATTGGTTATAAGATCTTTCTGTGTCCTTTCTATAGTCATCACTTGAGCTTTATCAAAAATCACATATTGTCAATCAAATATCTTTGCAAACATTATTATTGTACTTCATTAGTTTGATTATCACTATTGTTTCACCATTTTAAACAAGGTATTCTAAATATGTATCCATTTGTGTTATGATTCATTATATCATCTTCAATATATCCAATAAAGAATTTTTTGCATCCTATTCTAAATTATTCTATTATTTTAGCATTAATAGTCATTCTCTAATAATTTTCAATTCCATGTTTTTTCCGTTATTAAAATCCTCAATCTAAGATACATTTATACACATTATTATTATTGTTAAATATCTATTAAGCATAGCTATTATTACATCCTTTTTATATGAGGCATATTAAATGTGAGGTAAATTTATATTATGACTCCTAATTTCTTGCCATCGCTCTTCCCTTTGGTGTAACCTCAATGTACTTACCGGCCCTAAACATCCAAATCCACCAACATGAACACAATGCAAACTATAAACTAAAATCATTGCAACAATAAAAGGCTGGATGTGGACTTTCTCTGCACCTCCTCAAGGGCGGCAATGCAGGAACCCTACTTAACAAAGAGATCACTGCAATTTCAAAAATTGAGACAGCAATTCCACATACTCAGCTCTCGACACGGAGCTGGAGCTCTCATGCATTCATGACACAGAGCGGCGGTGTCACTTCGCAAGTTTTGCCCCCCTCCTCCGATTCCCACAATTCCGCCCACAGTTAAGATGGCGGCGGGAATCCCGGGCTGCGTGAGACGATTTCTCCAGATGCCCTGCAACTGGCATCGGAGCGCTTTCCAAGTTCGCTCGGCCGCCTCCTTGTCCTCCGCGCACGTACGCCAGATGTTCCTCCAGTTCTTCCAGGAGCGGCACGGGCATCAAGTCGTTCCCTCGGCTTCTGTGAGGCCGCGAAACGATCCCGGGCTGCTGTTCGTGAACGCGGGAATGAACCAGGTACGTTCCCAAAACAGGGCGCGGAACCAACAGGCTTCGCAGAAGGGTTCCGCTGTTGCCCTTGACGGCTCTGATCGGATGCTATCTCCTTCCCTTTTTCAGGAATTTCTTTTCTTTTTTTCTTGGTGTAAATGCCGCTGCTACGGTGCCGTCGTTTTAAATCTCTCGCTGCTAAAAAAAAGAAAAGAAAAAAATGCGTATTTTCTCATAAAGCTGCACTGCATTTTACAACATTTTAGACTTCTATAATGTTTTCTCTGGAAATGTAAAAAGGAGAAAAAATGTTCAGCTGAAGGAAATATGCAGTGGGAATAAGAAGCATCCTAATGCAACTGAGGACTGCAGTTGGGATATTTCAAAAAGAACTTCTGTGTTCTTCTCTAGCACCTTTTCGCTTGAGAACTTGATTTAAAATGTTTTTAGATAAAAATAAAGTAAGCTTCATATATCATTTTGCATGATATTGTGATTCATATTATCTAACATTATTTAATATAAATTTGCTTTTCAAGAGCATCACTGGAACCAGCATGATGGGTAGCTAGGTTAATGGACTGGATTCAGAGAGTTGTTGCTTCAAGTCACCATTTGATTAGATCAGTGTTAAACTAAAATAATGCCCTGCTCTCAGATATTCTGAGCACACTGTGTGCATATGTGAGACTGACAATACCTATTTGCATGACATGTTATGTTGCACTTTGGCTTGCAGTGTCATTCAGACATATACTATAAGCTGAAATACGGTTGAGAAATTTACCAAATGGCCCAGTGTATATCCAAATCTGAACTAATGATGGATTTATAAGTAAGGAGCCATTGCTGCTCTAAAAAATGTAGAGAATAAACACATAGCAGCATCTTTCAATTTATTTTTCTGCATTCATGGGTTTGGAAGAACATTATTATTTTGAAAGAAAGGGATTGGGAAAAGAGTGACCTTCTTACATCCTATGCATGGTGACTGTTTCTTATTTGATGATTGCAAACATTGTTTAAATTATAACAACATGATTCCAAGAAGTCACAGATTCCACAAAAGAAAGAGTATCTGGGATAGTAAAACTATTAAAATGTGGCTCGGTGGGTTTGCTGTACTTACTGGGAAATGTTTGCTAGATGATCCCCTTAATCATGGTTAGTACTAGTTGGGTGATACGAGAATGTGCCTTTCCACTAGAGCAATCCTTCTCTTAGTGTGAGCCAAATAACTTGTGAAGTTTCCTTTCTAATTTATCTTTTAATTTCCAGTTCAAACCAATCTTCCTGGGCACAGCAGATCCTCGAAGTGAGCTTAAACGTTACCGCCGAATTGTGAACACCCAGAAGTGTGTGCGGGCAGGTGGAAAGCACAATGATTTGGCGGATGTGGGTCGAGATGTTTATCATCATACTTTCTTTGAAATGCTCGGGAACTGGTCCTTTGGTGATTATTTCAAAGTAAGACATTGTTATACTTGCTTTAAAAAATGGCCTATTTGCAATTAATTTAATTTGTAACTAAATGAGCCCTAACCATGATCCAGAGTTATCTTTTTTTCTTTGTGACATATTTGTTTCTAAACTGCGCCATAAATTGGAACAGTAAAATAATTGTTGTAATCTCTATGGCTTCTCAGTGCAAAGGATTTTCTGCATATGGAAATAATATTTTTTGAGAAAGAGTTGATCATGCTATTCTGATTTGTGCACTTTACGCAAATATGACACTTTACGCAAACATGAGGCATAAGTCATGTCAAGGAAACCATCTAATTCCAAAGTGAACAGGTTTTGCTGTTTGCACTCATATTGACTTGATGAGACTTCTGTGATCCCATTTCTGATCTAAATACTTTAAACCAGTTGTCTTCAGTCTGGATTACAGTGTGTTGGAGTGTAGCATCCATCGTTTTTAGATAGCATGACTTCGCTGATGACACATGCTGAAGGTCGTAATCCACCACATCCGAAGGACATTAGTCTGGCAAAACATAATTTAAATAACTGTATAGAAATAAACAGCCAAAAGGACCTTACAGAATTCTAGTTTGCCATTAATGACACTAATTGTTTATCTGTCTACGTTGTATCTTCAAATAATTTAGAGTATTCTGCCCAATAGCTTAGAGAAGAGAGTAATCTATCTGAGGTTATCCAGTTGCAAGAGATTGGGAAAATATCTCACCAAATCACTTTGGTCCCATATTTTCATTTTATTTGATCACCAGGTTGGCCTTGATTTGTGCTACATGCAGTTAATATCACACTTTATAGTCTGTTCCCTCTGGAGCATCTGGAGTTGTTTTCTTACCCAAAAACTTAACTATTATTTTTCGTTTTTCATTGCTTCCATACTTTTTTATTTTAGGAGGAAGCATGTAAGATGGCATGGGAACTCCTGACACAAGTCTATGAAATTCCAAAGGATCAGCTTTATGTCACTTATTTTGGAGGTGATGCCTCACTTGGTCTAAGTGCTGATGAAGAGTGTAGGGATATATGGCTTACACTTGGGTAAGTAATTTTTTTAAAAAAATGAATGTAAATAAATTTTAGAAACTTTGCATTTTTTTTATCATGGTCCAAAAGCAAACAACATATACCTTCAAATGATAGAAGTCATATAAATAACCTAAACAATAATTTATATTAAGTGGGAACTAGATGACTTTTAAAAGCTATTTCCATGATAGATTTTTTGCCAATGTCTTAGAAGAATTAACAGATGGATCATTAATAGTGCAAGCAGCTAAAGCATGACCTGATGAATGCTATTAATTCTGTACACCAGTGAGTATGCAGTTGACACTGAAGCAACACAAATAATATTCAGTTTGTGAGTTCAAACGTAAACATGTATGGCATTCATATGGGGGTGGGCATGGAATATATAGTCATTGTCATTTTAATGGATAATATCAGTTTGCATCATTGTGAAGAGTCTTTTATGTGAAGCACGCACACTATACAAATATTGGGGAATTGTATCTTGATGAGGAATAAGGATTTCAACAATTTTGTTCTCATAGCTTCTAGGTTAAATTTGTATTTGTATAAATGCAACTGGGTACCATCTAACAACTGGCTCAAAACTTTGGCCTTAAAAGGTTTGATCACTGCTGGGACAAAGTAATGAGCATTAGAGATTACATACATAATCATTGAAAAAATGCACTATGGGATTTGTATTCATTTCTCATATTTCGTTAGTTCTGCAGGTAGAAGATTGAAAGCAGATATCCAATATTTCAAGGTTTTAACCTACTCTATGAATCTTCTATTAATGTTCCATCTGGAAGCATTTTTAAAGTATTCACCAGAACCTTCATTTTTGAGTAAATAATTCCCAGGAATTCTTTAGAATAATAGAGTGAAAAGACTTGGAGGCATGTTTGTAAACCTACTGCAGTATGGAAATAATGGTAGCAGCAGTTATAATATGGTAACTGGGCAATGGGCTAGGAAAGAGGCATTGGTCAGTGCATTACCTAAAATAGTTTATAGCCTTGTTTTATGTCTCACATGGTTTTACCTAATTTGTACCCCTAATTTGCTCAAGCATTGCATAATCCTGATCTTTAGTCATGCCAAGAAGACCAAAGCCACTGCGTGCAGCAAGTATGAACTGAATACCATAATATTATTTATCTTGTTCAGTAGCATTCATCAGTAGAGGCCATGATTGTAACGTGAAGGAGGAATGGATTGTATGTATCATATTGTGCCATACAATGGTTTATTTGGCTTAACATGTGTTGGGAAACCAGCCTCTGATTTGTAAAGATGATGTGTGATTTAGCAGAATGAATGAACCATGCTTAAGTTACCAGTAGAGTTCACCTACCCATAGCAAAGAGGCAGGTTGGAAACAAAGATTTCCCATTTTGAGATTGCTGAGTTCCAGCCCATGAAGTTCATAGATCCAGGTATTTGGAGAAAAGAAGGAAAATAGGAATTTACTGTTTCCATTCACCAGCTGCTCTGCTTGTTTGCTTGTTCTTTTTTTATTGTTGTTCTTTGTTTTTCAGTATACCCCCTAGCCATGTTCTTCCTTTTCACCTGAAAGATAACTTCTGGGAGATGGGTGACACTGGTCCCTGTGGGCCCTGCACAGAAATCCATTATGATCATATAGGTGGTGGAAGAAATGCAGCAGCGCTCGTGAATCAGGGCAGTCCTGATGTGGTGGAGATCTGGAACCTTGTTTTCATACAGTACAACAGGTACATTATCGTGTTACTGTTAAGAGTTTTATATAAATGCCATAGCTTGACTTCTTAGCAAAAGTTTGCTTGGATATGCAGATTTGGTTAATTTGGGCAGCTGTACAATTTTTTTAATAAATATTCACAGATTATACACCAATCAGTACTGTTTTATCAGTCCAAATAATTATATTACATATGTATTTCCTCTTCTCCCTGTCATCTCCTCCAATTGTATTGTAATTTATCAGCTGAAGGACTGCACTGATTTTATGTGGATTGACAAGATCTCTGCAAGTACCCATTTTGCCATTATCTCCCCATCATCTACAAAATAATTTTAAAAGCCTTTTTTCTTTTTTACCCTACCGTTCTGTGTACTGCCCCTGGTGAGTGAACTTTGTGCATTAATATTTTGATACTGTCAGAGCTAGCAACCTTCAGCCCAAAGCCCCCGTCACAGCTTGTGTCCTAGTTTCAAAAGCCTTCAATGGTAGATCAACCCAGATCTCTAGCAAGAGTAATCTGCCTCTTTCCTGCAATCTGCATCTTGGATGAGAGAGAAGAAGGTATAAGAAAGCAAAATAAATTAAGAGAGAAAAGGATAGCATAAGGACATAAGAAATTATGTCCTTACTCATTTACTCATGCTACCGGCTTTGTCTTTGTCTTTGTCTTTGCTCACCTAACAGATTATTTCTATAGAATGATAGTAAAGGGTTGTCCTAATCTATGATAATTTTGCATAATCTCCCACTAATCTTGGCCATCTACTCTGTCCTCATCAGTTTTCCTGATGCCTTTCTCCAATCACAGTTCAATCACTTGCAGAATTGCCATTCCCCTCTCTTCAGCAAAACAAGTATTGGCCTCTAATTAATGTTTACCGTTTTTCCTTGATTGGTTAACTGATACAATTCTAGAGAGGCCAATGGGAGTTTACGCCACCTGCCTCAGCATCATGTGGACACCGGAATGGGCTTAGAAAGGTTGATGACAGTTCTTCAGAACAAACGCTCCAATTATGACACTGACCTCTTCACCCCAATCCTGGATGCTATCCATAAGGTGATGATCATCTTGGTGTAGTTCTAATGAGACTTTGAAGTTTTGTATGTACAGTCAATCTAGTAGGCTCCAGTTAAGAACTAAGAAGGACTATGATTGCATTGACTTACATTGATTTGAAATGTATCTAAAGAGCATCTTCATGGACCTTGCTACTCCACCTCACACCCCTTTCCCAACCCAGATCATGTCTATCATGCACAGTTGTGCTCCTGTCTGGACTGTGCTATGCCTCTTGCACACTTTCTGAGCCATGTTGTGCTCCTTGCGCTCCTTGAACACATCCCTCCTTGCGCAGTGGTGTGCAAAAAGCACACTGCTTTTTGCACATCCCTACCACATCTCTTGTGCACCCCCTTACATTCCATTCTCAACCCTCTCGTGTATCTTCCCCAACCCTCCTCTATACTCCCATATACTCCCTTGTTCCCTCCCCCACTGGCAGCAGCCACTTTCCTGCCTATCACCCTGGACTTAAAACTCCCTACCAATTTCCTCACTGGCTTTGATTGTGAGAAACCAGTTGGAAGCTTTCTCACATAACAACCCTAGGATTCAGTTAACAAGGCAACTGGGACTGCCGTCACTAAGCAATGCAATTGTCCTTTACAATCGTATTGTTTAGCAACAGCCATTCTGTTCCCAACTGCTGTCATAATCCTCAAGTGAGAGACAGACGGATGTGACAGAATCACCCTGATACAACTCTGTCTTCTTGGAGTAAGAACAGGAATCTTGGGTCCACTAGATTTTAGATGTCTGTGATCACTGGACAGTGTTTATGGGATTTAGAATTCAACATAATCGTGAGGCTCACCAATATGAATATTGTGGATATGCTAGAATACTTATTTCTCAGGAGAACAAAAATTGCTGCATCTCCTTTTCTGGCAGTAGTCTTAAAAGAGCCAGAAGAATGACTTAAATAGTTTGTTGGCTATTCAAACTGAGAGACCAGCTCTGATAGCATTAGAATTTTCTGAGTGGAAAAGTGCAGCTTTCAAGGACTATAAAAAAAAAGTTCTGATATGGGTCTTATTATATTTGGGAATATCCCCCTCTTATCTCTCAGTTCTACTTTTCTGCAGTAGTCATTTACATGTCTACACAGAAGTGCCACTCAATTTAGTAAGGCCTAAAACTGCAACATTAAACCCCAAAAACTTAGGCATTGTTGCTGTGTGTGCACTGTTTCAAAGTTGGTTCAGAAGAAGTTCAAACATAACACCCCTCTGTAAACTATTAAAATAGGCAAATGTTTTCTCAGGATCTTTTCAGAAGATAGGTGATAGAATGTTAAAAGACGCAGAGGCAGTTGAATGAACTTACAAATGCATCAGACTTCCTAAATATGTTTTGTGTGTTATATGGGGATGGGGGAAATAGGCCCATGTTAGTTTGATGAAATATTTTTGATCTGCCCTTTTTTAAAAAAAAAAAAATCCCATAAACATTTAAAGACCAATCCATTTAAACTTTTAAGGAGAAAAAAATAAGGAAAAGTGGTGAAACTTAGAGTAATTAAGTAGAACGTGCATATTCTTGTGTGACTTTTTCAGTGTCTTCTATTACCTTTCAGGGCTGTGGTGGACCTGGTTACCAAGGCTTGGTTGGCGACATTGACCCTGGGGGAGTGAATATGGCCTACAGAGTGGTGGCAGATCACGTGCGTGCCCTGACTTTGTGCATTGCGGATGGGATTTTCCCAGGCATGGCTGGTGCCGAGTAAGGAAAAAGTCCAATAATGAGGGGAAGAACAGCTGGGAGTGAGTGATTAGAGAATATTCGGGTTGATGTTGTCAGAGAGAAAGTTACACAGAAAGAGGAAGCAGATGGGACAAATGGAAACTATAATTTTGAATGATTTCAAAAGATTAGTGGAGGAAAGAGTGACTGCAGCACATAGGAAATGCATGCATAAAATATATGGAGCATACCAAGGACATTGCTGTAAAACCAACAAGATAAATACTAAGAGAATCTTGGTGGGAATTTTAAGCAAGTATTCAGATGTTTTTCTGAAAAAGTAAAATTGCCTACTCACTCAAAATGTTAATTTCATTTTGAAACATTTGTTCCCTACAGGCTTGTTCTACGTCAGATTTTGCGCAGGGCTGTACGGTTTTCTTCTGAGGTTCTCCATGCTCCACCTGGGTTCTTGGCGAGTTTGGTTCCTGTCGTGGTAGAAATTCTGGTAACTTAGAATTTGATTTCTTAGGTCAAGACACTTTTCTAACGCTGTATTGATTGCCTTATCAGATGGTACTACCCTGTGACATCAGATGAGGAATCCCTTAGTTGCTAGAAATATAGGTGATATAACAAAGTCAAAGAGCAGATTTTTTTAATGCAGATGTTAAAACTATCTAATTGTCCTACACATGAATTTCAATATTAGAAGAAATAGTATGTGATCCAGCAGTTCTACTATTCCAGTGAGATATATCACACCACTTCTGCTAACTAGAAAATGTGCAGAAGTAACAGGATTATCCAAGGATTTGGAATCAGGAAAGAGCTACGTTTGCAGAATTCCATGTTTCTTGACTGAAAGGCAGCTCTTATGGAAGTGTTTCTGTCCAATAATATGAAGGGCCTGAAAGGCGTTTTGGGATATTTGTGTTAAGTCAACACAATGCTTTAGTGTTGTTTATCACTCATGTTTATCCCATTCAGAGATTTGATTTTTTGCGTATAATTGGGGACGGGGGAGATCTAAATTATATAATTCCTGACATGAGACTAACAAAACAAAATTCCTAATTTCAGAAGCAAAGAATTTCATATAATGTATATTAGGGATGGGGAGAAGTGAGAGTTGTACTAGTAATGACTTGTAATGAGTTGATGTTTCCTTTGCAGGGAGATGCTTATCCAGAACTAAAGAGGGATCCAGAGAAGGTAAGCAGCTACTGCTGCTGCACTCAAAGTTGTATTATTATTATTACACATTGCTTGAAATAGTGGAATTATTTGCTTAGTAATCCTTCTTAATGAGCATACTATACCAGCTTCCAGTTTTTGATGCATTTTTTTTCCCATCTTATTTTGAATAGTGGAAGAATGGAGGTGAGATTGGGCTTCTTTGCTGTCTCCTGAGCAATTAAGCTAATATAGCCTGCACTTTAAAGGTCAATCCAACAGTTGAGCTCTGTGCCACACATGAGCAAATGCAAGCAGGAGAATTTTCCTTCTGACGTGAATTAAGTTATAAGCCAGCGGCCCATCTAGAGCAGATCTGAGGCAAAATGTGCTGTCTCTGTTTTTGCTTTGAAAGATGTATTCTTCTTTTCCAGTACTTTTTTTAACCCAGTGAATAGTCCAAGCAATAACTGACATGTACTGTATACTATCTGAAGAAAGAAAGTTCCAGTTAATTTTCTAAAACCTTTCCTGAGAAGAAACCTTCATTTAAAAAACATTAAAATATTTGATATGTAACTTTATACATTTTTCTTACACTGCTTACTAAGCATCTATGCATATTAAAGAAAAAATGTATAAATACAAATAAAAACATTTTTTGATATATAACTTTGATTGCACAAAGTTTGTTCATAAAAAAGGCAGTAGAAAAATATGTCTAAACTTTACAAAATTATCCTTTTGAATGCAAATAACATCCCTTGTTAAAAGGATGTTGTTGCAGCTAACAGATTGAGAATTATGTGTTATGTCAGGTTGAAAGTTGGGCGTAAGGGTTCAGCTTATCCCTAAAACTACTGTGTCAAAAATATTTCACCAAATGTGACACTAAGAACATAAGTGCAAAGAAAAATGGGCACTTATATTGTAATGATGTCCATTCTGTCTTCAAGTAAGAATTGCATCCTACTTTGTTGCCTCAGTTCCCAAAAAGTTCCCATGGCATACCTATGTTGCCATAGTTAATTATGGTTAATGATGGTCTTTTGTGGACTAGATGCATCTAAAAACCTAGACCAATGTCAACTGGGTGTGCAATCTGGATTTTATTTTCTAGAGCAGATGCCTCTTTTCTTCTACCTATTTCTTACTCTTTCCTTTTGGATCATAGGATTGCAGGGAGAGTAGAATTCTACAAAAGTGAGGAGCATGTATCATGCTTGTACTACGTCGTCTTAGTGAGCAAGATACCTTGGAAGAGCTTGGCTATTCAAATTTTAAATTTGCCTCTTTATCTTTTATTCAACACTTGTAATAAATTTGCTTTCTAAGCGATAGGTTTATTTATTTTTTGTGCCTCTTCTTTATCTCCCTGCAGATTATGAATATCATCAATGAAAATGAGGCAGCATTTTTCTCTTCTCTCTTGCAAGGACGTCGAGTTATAAACCGAACTCTCCAGAAATTGAATCATTCCAAAGTCTTCCCAGGCAAGGATGTCATTTCCCCGCAAACGACCACTGCTAGCTGCCAAAGTACAACATATAGTGTAATGTGATAAATGCCTTGTTTGTAGAGCCCACCTCCCTGGCTTTGACCTATCCCTTGCTTTTGACCATGTTTGCTTGAAAGAGTGATATTCTGGCTAGTTAATGGGAATTAATGTACAACTTTCTGGTGTCTTATCTCTGTAATCACAGTCCACGGTTATCCTGTGGTTGAGGGGTTTTTTTACGATTTCAAATTCTAGTTAGAAATTTGGCAGATGCTGCACTATCGGATGACATGCTTAAACATAGGAAAGTTGCTGAAGTTGCTCATATTTTTGTCTGCAGGCGAGGTAGCTTGGTCTCTCTATAGAAATTTGGGGTTCCCCCTGGATCTCATTAAATTGATGCTTGAAGAAAAAGGAGTACAGCTAGACATTGCTACTTTTGATCATCTGGCTCAGGAGCATATCAAAGTAAGGCCCACATACGTCTTTTTATGAATTACCCTAATTGATCACCTTTTTTTCTCTGATCAATGCCTTAAAATGGTACTTTTAGAGAAATCTAAGGCAAGAATAGGCAACCCATGGCTATTCCCAACAGCCCCTATGGTAGATGGTGAAGATTATTGGGAATTTAGCAATATTTGGAAGACTACAAGGAGTTCACTCCAGTTGTTTGAGGTTCACTGAAGATGCCCCTCTGTTAGCTAAAATCATAATGCATAATAATAGATTAAGTATATTGTTGACATCTGTTTTAATTTTGATCTGATTTTTTCTGAATGGAATAGCCTTATTTTTTTCCCCTCTAAAATGTGTGTAGGCGCAAACTGAATTGGAGTGAAATTTCATAGTAACCATTTAATTCCACCTCCCCAGCACTTGATTTAAAAGGGAGCAAAGTTTCTCAAAAATCTAAACTTGATCCTAGATTGGAACAGTCTTCTAAAATGCTACAGTATTCAGAATTCTGTGAACAGGTTTTATTAAAATGATATGTCTCATTGTTGTGTTTATTCTCTCTGTCTTTTTTCCTCCCTCTCCATCTCTGCAGCACAATGCTAAGTTGCATCAGCAACATCAGACCCAGAGTGCTGAGAAGCAGCTGGATGTGCTTTCATTGGCCCACTTGCAACAGCGGAATGTGCCTATTACTGATGATTCCCCCAAGTATGACTATAAACGTGTACAAGTTGGGGAATATGGTAAGGATCAACCCTCCTTGGTGAAGACCAGACTTACTTTATTTTCCAGTAAGGAGATAAATGTTTTGTTAGAGTAGGGTAACTGGGCTCATTACCTGATTTGAAAAGTCAATAGCAGCATAATTGTGAGTTTTACAAAAACACACTCGGGCAGCCATTTCTTATTTATTATTGCATTTATATGCTGCATGCTTACAAGCTTCAGCTAAATATAGAGATCTTGGATAATGAGGAGGGGGAGAGTTCTCTGGTGATTTCATCAAAACAACGAGAGTGACTTTTTTTTCTTTTTGTTTGCTTTTTATATTTTTTTTTCTCCCACGTGGTGTAAGTGGGAGAATGGCAACAGCAGACTTTAAACAAATAGTTCTATTTCCACCCTTAAAACCTGCCTCAGATCATGGAGTAAAAATAATTGTTTTTGAGGCTAATTTCAGCATTTTTTTTCTGGTTTTGTGAGGTATTAAGGATGGAAAAGGGGATGATTTGCATCCTTAAGACTTCCTAGCTGTGTTCCATCTGAAATCTGCATCACAGTGAAAAAAGAATCCCAGCCACCTCTCCCTCTGACAACAATTTGAAGCCATTTGGAAGCAGGCAGGGCCTTCAGAAGCCTTCAGAAAACAGGCAGGGCCTTCAGAAACTTTCAAGGATTCTGAAGTCCCTGGTTGCCTCCAAATGGATATAGGCTATGTGAACTTCATACAAGAGGATCACATAGTCTATATTTTGGTACTGGCTTTCGGCAGTTGATGCCAAGACAGAAGGCTCTGTTTTGTCCACTCCTCATATTAGGAAGAACCTCCTCTCTAATAGGGTGAGCTCTATATACCCAAATCCCACTTGTTGCCTTTGGACACCATGGAGAATATTAGCCTCCTTCCTCCATGTTGTTTTTTGCATGTAGGATTCTCTGAGGGAAGAGAGGAGAAGAACCATTTTGGCCTTTTAGTTAAGAACCAAAATATTTTCAATCGGGTCTTATTCACCAGTCACCATGAGAGTTAGCTGATGGAGGGATGAGACAATTGGATTCCAGTGTAGGAAAGAAGCCTATTTTTAGCAACTTGCAGCAGGTTCCATGATGTCACTAAATAATTCATAACAGTAAAAACTTTGAAGAAGTATTGCCAGCCAGAATAGACTAAATAATCTAAATAATAGAATAATTAGGCTAAATAATCCAGTAATCCCCAAATTTGTCTAATCTCCAAGTTTTCCTATATGCTGTCCTCTTTTGTAGAGCAATGAAAGTTTAGGTCTCCTGGATTTGGAGCTGGGGAATTGAACTTGAAGGAAGAAAATCTATCATAGCACATGCATTGAATGGATGCATGTAATACAGTTAAAACCAGTAATATATCCTTGTTATTACCTACGTGGGGAACTGTGAGTGGTATCTCCACAGCCATTAATCTTCGTACTTCTTAGATTTTTCACATACCCAGCTTCAAGTATTTGGTGGAAGCTGCAAATTTTTGTGAAGTCTCCAGCAGTATATTACACAAACTGGCAAGATCTTTCATGAGAACATGCTATTGTTATTCAGTTGCTAAGTTGTATTTGGCTCTTCAAGACCCACGTGGATCACAGCAGGCCAGACCCATTGTCCTCCAGAGTTTGCCCAAAGAGAAGTAACTACTCCCATATAACAATATCATTTTAATATGTTTGTGTTCTTGGATACCTCCCTGTGCATCCAAAATACTTGGCTTTAAAATAATTTAGTTGAGCATTAGTCAGATCAGTGCTACATGATTGGTTGATTGTCTTGTTGTTCAGGTGGCTCCACTGAATAGGCCACCTTGTAGAAATGGAATCTATGACCTTTTTCTTGCTCTTTGCAGTATTCAAGCCATGCCAAGCCACTGTCTTAGCATTATACAAAGATCAAACTCTTCAAGAGGAAGTTTCAGGAAAACAACACTGTGGTGTCCTGCTAGACAGGACTTGCTTCTACGCTGAGCAGGGTGGCCAGGCGTCTGATCAAGGCTATATGACGAGTGGCAGACAGCGGGTAAGCTTTTTCCCAGGCAGAGCTGAAATTATTTCCTGATAACTCTGGGAATGAGCTTCCTTGAAATGTATTAACCATCTTGGTTGCAGTCTCCAAGCTACAACACTAGTTTATTCCTTATCCACATCATCTTGCTTCTCTTTCAGTCTTTTACTGTAGCAAATATAAGCAAAAGGGAAGAGAAAAACTCACTACTTATTTGTATTAAATGCAGAAGGTTTACCTCTACTGATCTTAATCTGTACTCCTCCCAATGTTAATTTAGAAGCTTAGTTGATTGATAAATAGCATTTGTTAACGACTAAAATACTTGAATGTCCTGTAGAAGAATGAAAGAACCTGCTGCACAAAATCATGAAGTGTCTATGTTAACAGTTGTGTCTTTTTCCTACTTTTGAGGATGTACTTTTCCCTGTTGAAACAGTACAAGTATTTGGTGGCTATGTAATCCATGAAGTCTTCGTTTCAGAAAGCCTGAAGGTTGGAGACCAAGTACACCTCTTTGTGGATGAGGTAACAATCTTTTCTGGGCAATTCCTATAAAACACCTGGGTCATCAGGGTCTTTATAAATATGCCATACTAACAGTTTATATTGGGTGGGAAGTTAGAAAAACACATTGCACCCTGGGCATGACCAACATTTCAACAGATTAAGATATAGGATATTCTATGTTAGTTTTTACCATTGTTGATTTTGCCTTAACTGTCATTCTTCCAAGTAATGAGCACAAGACAGTCAAGACTCTGTTTGCTCAGGTTCAAGAAGCCCTTTACTGAGTGTATCATATCAAGATTTAGAAAGGTGAAGCTAGCACTGAATGATCCCGGCACTTAGGAATAATTAAAAGAATAGAATTTCCCCACATACACCCTGTATCTTTTAGATCACATGGGCCAATCAATTCAGCCAGAGGTTCCCACTCAGCTCCGACAGGTGTCCGTTGACATGACCTTGGTTCACACCCTGGATGGTAGATGTTTTGACCAGCAGCTGAAGCACTACATTCCTAAGCTTCCCCATCCCTCCTCCCATGAATGGCAACCAAGAAACGAAGCAGGAGTAAGCATGAGAAAGAATAGCTTCAGCTTAAGTCGTTTTGCAGGTTGACACTAACACTATATTCCTTTCGACCAACTCACAAAGATTAACAAATACAGATGTATTTGTTTTACAGAATCCACAACCCTGTGGGTTCCCTAATGATTCTCAAATATGTGACCTATTTAAATAAGCAAGGCTAAGATATGCAAATTAAAAAAAATTCAGTAGAGTAACTTTGTTATAGTAAGGCAAATTCCATCATTTTGGCTGCTTAGGCAGTTCTTTGAGAGACCTTAGCAAATTATTTAATAATTGTTTAATTATCAGGAGCATTATTTGGAGTATCAAGGAGTTTAATCACTATCCTGCAGTGAATATCTTAGAAAACAAGTATGGTGACCTTCTGATATTGGGTGAATTTATATACGAACAATACACAGTCTCTTTTGGACAAAAAGAACAGCTATGAAGTTGGCGTTCTAGTACAAACAATATAAAAGAACACCGAGATAATCTTGGTGAAGGAATGGATGAGCCTGTTAAGGGAGGAGAAATGGCAATTCATTCCTGAGGTGAAGGGCATAGAAACTAAAAAAATAATCATGCATTGATTCTTTTTGGTAAAGGACAAACAGACAGACCCAAACTAATAGTGTAGCTTTCAGGATTCTGTCATCATGTCCTATAATAGAGTAGCATTCCCGGAATCCTTGCAGTATCTGTTTCTTGACCTCACCCTACCTCAAAGAACTAACAAACAAGTATGTTTCTTTGGGTATGGGGGTCTTCAGATATTGCTGAATTATCAGTTTCAGCATCCTTCATTGCCCTTTAATTGGAGCTGCTAGGGCTTCTTGCTCAGCAACATCTGTAAGACCAGAGGTTCTTGACTAGTTAATTTAAGAACATTAGTGAAGGAAGGGCTATAGAAGTTATAAACCGCGAAATTATAATCATACACTTAATTTGTATCTCCATAGGAAATAGATATTGGATAACAAAACTGGAGGGAAAACCCTCTGCTGAGAACATTCCTAGACAGTATGGTTTAGGGGTGTCAAACTTGCATCGTCACGACGGCATCACGTGACATCGGGATTTTTCCCCCTTCGCTAAACCGGGTGGGGCCTTGACACATCCGACCCGCAGGCCATGAGTTTGACACCCCTGGTATAGTTAGTGCTTTGGTAGGTAAATTAAGAATCGGCAAAACTTTGTGTGTACAGTCAGGTGTTCAAAATGATTTCATTATGCATTAAAAACTTTTTTCTTTTTCATTGCCAATATGTTCAGTTTTATTGTGACGTTTTGCAATACCAGCGCCCCTTATCCAGTGCATTGCTTTTGTTTTCAGGCCCAGAGACTAGCTTCCATGAGGAACCACACAGCTACCCACTTGTTAAATTTTGCACTCCGCCAAGTCTTGGGAGACTGCACAGAACAGCAGGGATCCAGTGTGACTGCTGAGCACCTGCGATTTTTTGTCAACACCAAGGTGCCTGGTATCCACAAAGTACTCCACATTTAGAGCAGGGAGGATAAGAAAACTTGGAACACACCTAGAAATGAGCTGCAAAAGTTAGTTCAACACCTACTATCTTGTCCCCTAACACAGGGGTTCCCAACCCCCAGGCCATAGCCAGTTCAGAACCGGGCCATGAAAGTGGCGGGTGGGTGAACACGCGCACCCAAAGCTCTATTTGTGTGATGCCCACTGCTTGTGTAGATGGAGCTGCATAAATGCACACATCTCCCACTCACACGGAACAATCCCCCTGCTCACCAGTCCACCAAGCTAAAAAGGTTGGGGATCGCTGTCCTGGCATATGAGGAGTGAGGCAGCCTTTGGACTTCCATCATTGTTAGCAGTCCTGATATTGAAACAGTGTTTTTATTTAATAAATGTGTTTGCTGGCCATCTCGCTGTATTCGCCTTCTTCCCCCAACACTGAATGGCTGCCAGTGGCTATATAAATTCTGTTAGACTTTGTCATTCTCCTGTGCGCTGCTTGGGGAATCCAAGCATGGGTTAACTTTGTCCATTAGCCTAGAGATTGAGTTATGTAATTGTTGACCACACCTCCTCTGACTGGGATAGTTCAGTTTTTTAACTCAATCCAGCCTTAAAGAGACACAACATTTTTCTCCTCTAGGATAATAGACAAAATTACCTGATTTGACTTGGTTTTTTCCCTCTTTTTAGTACGTTTGACTACGGATTGTTGGTGTTGTTTTCCTCAATTTATACTTGCAGTTCCTTGAGACTCTAGTGGCCGCAGGAATGTGTGCCTGGAGACTTACTCATCGGGCTCCTGAATGGGTCTAATCAGTAGAGGGTCAGCTCGCCGCTCTCTTTCCTGATAAGTGGCCATGGTGATAGTTGATTTGCCACTCTCGTGTCGGCGCGGGGCTCAGCAACCCACTGGTACCGCCTCCCGTTCTCTTAGCCTGTCGCTGAGAAAGGCAGCGTGACCTTGTCTCCAGCGGCCACGGTCACAATTGTTAGGCGTGGGTCGCTGTTTCCAGCGCTTTGGGAGCCTTGCCACCGCCGTGCGGTTCCGGGTGAGTCAGCCGCGCCATTTCGGCTGCTGGCGTTCCACCCACCCCACCCCCGCCTTCCGGACGGGGAAAGACGGTGGCCATTTTTTTCCATGCACTTTTTGTGCTGATGTAGGTGCTGGAGCCAGCCATTTGAACCATTAGTGCCTTCGCGCCAAATCAGCAGCAGGAAGGGGTAGAGCTTGCGTTGCACACTCAATTGCGATTGAGAAAGGCGTGAGTCGTGCTGCAGAAGTCGGTTCGCCGCCATCATTTAGCACCGTAATGAGACAGCTCGCCAATTTATCAGAGGTTTGCCCTGGTTTCAGAAGTGAGCTTGAGCCTTTCAAATCTCTCCCGCTCCCCCGTGCATTACTATGGCCGATCATTCTGTTTCCAGAGGCAGCGATGGAACTCCCAGCTCTTTCCCGCTGTAATCTGAGACTACTGGGCCCAGCACCAGGGTGGGTAGGTCCACTACTAGGGCCTCTAAACATAAATCATGTGCACCATCTGCAGCCCTGGACAAAGCTGCCAAGTGCAAAGAGAAGGCCAAGCCATCGCCCTCAGCTCCTGGGCCTACTGCTAGGTCCCCTCCTACTTTAGCGGCCAAGCACCATTCCCCTGTTCCAATTCCTCCAGCGGGAATCCAGGGCTGGTCCCCCGATCTTCCCACACTATTGGGGAGGGGTGCAGACAAGGGGGATTTGGGGCCCCGATCCACCCCAGATCTTGTAGCATCATCCATGGCCCCTGACCAGCCTGTGTCCCGCCCTTGAAACTCATTGCTTTGGCATGTCCATGCTTGGAATCCCCAAGCAGCACACAGGAGAACGACCGTTGACTTACCTGAACGGTCCTTCTATGTGTGCTGCGAGGGGAATCCAAACCCGCCCTCAGCTTCGGCTGGTCCGGGCACTGGCCCTGTCTCAATCTCACACGCACGCATTGTATTTACTTACCTACTTACCTTCTAGTCTGCTGATTCCTTTGCTTCTCTTGGATCGGCTGAGCCTTCGTACAAAACTGAACTATCCCAGTCAGAGGAGGCATGGTCAACAATTACATTCCTCAGTCTCTAGGCTAATGGACAAAGTTAACCCATGCTTGGATTCCCCTCGCAGCGCACATAGAAGGACCGTTCAAGTAAGTCAACGGTCGTTCTTTACCATGGAGGAAAATTTGGTAAATGAGTAATTTGGTATAGACAATAAAGGAGAGATAGGATCAGCAATGGGAATAATGAATGTCTTGTAATATGGGTTTTTGCCAGTTCAAGGATGGATTGAGGAAAGACCCTAAAATAACAGTGTGAGGGAATTGTGTGCTATACAGGACCAAATTCAATGTATAAATGGAGGTGGAGTGATGTAGGCAATTTAGTTTTGGAGCATTTAAATATAGATTAACATCTTAATGTGTAACATGCACAACATACCATATTTTTCAGAGTATAAGATGCCCCTTTTTTCCTCAAAAAAGAGGCTGAAAATCTGGGTGTGTCTTATATATCGAATACGGCATTTTTTTGCCTCCTGAGGCCCCACCTCCTTCACTAAAATGGCTGTGCAAAGCCTTATGGAGGCTTTCAGAGCTCCTGGGGGCTGGGGAGGGCAGAAATGAGCACAAAATGGGCCAGTTTCCCCAGCCCCCAGCCATGAGGGTATGCATGCAATATTTTTGACAAAAATGCGCCATTTTTTGCTCGTTTTTGCTCCCCCCAAGAGCACTCTGCAAGCCCCCCCCCAAGGCTATTCATGCCTTTTATTTGAAAAAAATATGGGCCCGTTTTCGCGATAAATGGGCCGTTTTTAGGAGGTTTGCAGAGTGCAAAAACTTTTTTTCCTTTTGGAAAGCTCTTTAACTGATGAGAATTACATTACATGCCAGCAGGAACAAAGTCTTAAGGTTTGTCAGCAATTTCCTTCTCCAGCACATGGATAAATACACCTGGAAACATTTACCTACCTACTCTCTCTCTCTCCCTACCTATCTACTGTATTTCTCTCTCTTTCTATTTCTCTTTCTCTATCCCTCTACCTACTTACTGTATTTCTCTTTCTTTCTCTCCCTCTCTATCCCTCTATCTACCTACTTTTTTATTAATTTGTCTCTTCAAAACCTTGGTGCGTCTTATACTCCGAAAAATACAGTAACCCACCAGTTGCCATCTAATCCTAATTGCTATTGTGAATACTTGGTATTTTGACACTAAAAGCCTAATAATGTAAGTTTTGTTAGCATTCTCTTACACAGAATTTGTGTACATTGGCAAACAAATCTTGTATGTAGTTTGATTCAAGAACTATTGATTCCAGTTTTTAGATGAGAACTCTGAGGCTTAAAAATCTAGCAAGTATTAACAACTAAACTGAATCTTGGAAGCTAATCATCCACTCTCTTGGATTCTACAATACATTAATCTTCATGCTGTGTAATACTGCATCTTTCTGATGAAGTATATTTTTTTCACCAGGTCCCCATAAAAACAGAGACTCTGCAAGAGGTAGAAAGTGTGGTCCAAGAGTTGATCAAAAGGAATGAAACTGTTTATACAGGAAAAACTCCTCTCAATCAGACCAGTGATGTTCTAGGACTCCGGAAACTGGATACGGTAATTTGGCAATGACTAACACAAAAAGTCTTAAATAGCTAAAGGCAGACCCAAAGTGATCTCAGCCAGGGTAGGCATTTTGTTTTTGAGACATTTGGAGTCATTCCTGAGTAAAAATTTATGCTCTTGAATGTATTTTGAATCAAAATGTCTTACAATTATAAATATATGCATTTTAAAAGTGAGTCCAAATTTACAAAGTATTCTCTCCGTTTGTTTTGCATTTTAATGCATATAATTTCTCCAATCACTTTTTACTAAATTCTACTGTGGGTTAACATATAAGATGGTCCTTTGAAATTAAAATCCTGACCTATAAAGAACTGTTATATGGTTTTTATCTCTAATTTAACAGGGTGGTTTTTTTTTTACCTCAGGATAGATAGATCAAAGGATGTGTCTGTGAATGTTAGTGATTAATTTTTTGGTACATTTCAAATAAAACGTTAATAAAAACCCTAGAAAAACATGGAATACATTTTAGAGCATTATATCATACTCTTCAACGATTAAACTAGGTTTGTACAGAGAATATAATCATATTCATCTGAAGTTATATTTCCTGCATGATCAGGACTTGCAGTTATGCAGAATTCCCATTTATGCCTTGCCTGTAACTGTTTTCAGCCAAACACATTCATTTTCTTCTTATGCAAAGTTGGGAGAAGCATGTTTGAGTGACCCCTCTGTCTGTTAGTCTGTAACTCCCAAATGGGCCTTAGGGAGCATAAGTGCTGCAAAATATAATTGACTAGATTTCAAAGAATATTGGGACTAAATACATTTCAAATAGCCAGTATTGTGTATAGTTATTTATGCTTTCTCTATAGGTTCCTGCTTCGGAATCCTATTTCCATCTAAAACTTGTTCCTTCCCTCTTTGGTTTAGTTCCCAGCCACAAAATACTGAGCATTCTGAAAAATAGAACATTTGAAATTGGTGGAATTTGAGAATCTCAGAAACTGGTAGCCAAGCATTTGGCTGTTATTGAAAATATATCAGGTCCAACCATTTTCCACTTGTTAGTAATATCTTTCCCATCCAGCATCAATTGTTCAGGAGCATTAGTGGCCATAGCACATGATCTAAACCCTGTCTTTTGGTATATGCATGTGATGCTGACACAAACAAAGGTGGCAGGACTCGGATTGTGCTGCTGTGCTGTCACCTTTAAGAAATATGGGCAAATGAGTGGAGATAGTGCGTGCAGACCTTCCCACAGATTGGTCTTCGGCACATTCTCAAGGGTGCTGCCATCTTCCACATAATTATGTCCATGTAATAGTTGCATTCACCAGTTGCACGGCCAATATTGCCATGTCAAGTAGTCTTCTCCTAAACCTTTCAGGTGTATCCCGATCTGGTTCGTGTAGTGTCAGTAGGTATCCCAGTTGAAAAGATCTTGGCTGAGGATTCTGAACATGCAATGAATACCTCGGTGGAGCTGTGCTGTGGAACGTAAGTATTTTTGTCCCGTTTCTTTTAAATTGAGATGCTCTGCACATGCCTTGACGTGCGTGGAAAGTGGATTTCCTCAAAAATCCCAGTCCGCTTCCCAATTTCAGTGGGAAGACCAAGGTCTGTATAATTTCAGCAGTCTGCCACAGCGCGCTGCTTCATCTTAAACTGCCAGGGGTCTTGGTTGGCAGCTCCCTCATGCGTTTTGGTAGTGAGACTCTTACCTGGGGAACCTTCATTAGCAATACAACATTGTAACTTACTGCCAAAGAGACGGGTAGCTTAAAAATACTGTCAAAATACAGATTTTAGTTTTTGTTTTTCTTTTCTTGGTTATTTATTGCAAGCACTTGAAGTTCAGCACAGATGAACTATTTATTGACCAAATCTGATAGGGTGGTTTGGCTTTAGAAGTTGGGAGATGCCCTTTTAGCCATGGCTCACATAAGGGGGAAGATTGGAGGCTGTCTTGTCTCTGCCATGTACTGTTCCTTAGACTTATACCAAGGGCCTTTATATGTACTGAGATGGGTTTTGGATTTTTGGCTTCTTCCAAAAAACATAGCCTGTTTGCCGGTCTTTCTCTCCTCTCCAGACACCTTCTGCAAACAGGAGATGTACAAGACTTCACCATCATTTCGGAGCGGCAGGCGGTTAAAGGAATCAGCCATATTGTTGCAGTGACAGGAGAGCAAGCCAGACAAGTAAGACCTCAGTGAACTAGCTGTGGGACTTTTACAAAGATAGAGAAGCTGATACTGTTTAAACAGGCCCCAGGATCTGCTGTCCTCCTTTTGTCTCCCTTTGATCCGAAACATTTGTATTGTCTGGAGAGGGGTGGCCGGAGGAGGCCCTTTTCAATGCTCACAGTATCTACTCATTTGTGCTCCAGCCCCTTAGCCAGAAGTGCTGCTGAGGCTTCGGCATTTGACTTAGGAGACCTCTCTGCAAACCCTCACCAATTCTGTTCCCTTTCTTCAAATGCAGAAGGATGGAATTGCAAGGTGAATTGACTCAATTGATGCACAATTGGAAGACTGGAAGAGCAGGTTTGGCATAAATCATCCCTGAGAAGGTCCATTTGTGTGTGATTGTGAATAGTCAGCACTGACTTGATGGCACACAATTCAACCAAAGCTAATATCAAGGAAACTACCAGGAGAAGTCTCTAACCTTCCACAGCTTGTTTTAGCCTTTTCCCCAACACTTCATCCACATATCAAAGGAAGATGCAAAGGCCAAAGTAGAAACGTGCTGTGTTTAGGCAGACAATCCTCCTGGGTATCTCTTTTCAAGTTAGAAAAGGTTCCACGTTATAAACCAGTACTTTGAATTGGGTTACAAAACGGACAGGGAGTCAAAACAGTTTGTTAAGCACCAGCACGATATGCAGATGCAACCCAATTCCAGATAGCAATATTGCAGTTGAACTAATTAAACTGTCCACATCCCTGGCCTGATTTGATTTGTCCTCCACTGCTGTCTTGCAATATACTGGGAAACCTGCTATTGGTGTTTGGAGAAATCTAACTAGATTTGTTTCAAATTCAAGGTGTAATAAGATTTCTTAATACGATATTAATATCATAACCATTCTAAGCAGATAGAATAATTGCTAGGACGAGTTCCTCTCCACTTTGCCTATGCTTTGTCTTTCTCCATACTTAAGCAGGGAAAGGACAAAATACACATGAAGTGGAACTATACAAGGAACACCTTCTGCCCAGTGGTGGGATTCAGCCAGTTCACACCTATTCGGGAGAACCGGTTGTTAACTTTCTAATCAGTGCGGAGAACCAGTTGTTGTTAGAAACCTCATTTTGTTTTTTCCCACTTTACAGCGCTAATCCTGTAAGGAAGGCAGGAAGGAAACATTCTGGTGTTGTTTCTAGCCTAATCTTTATTGCTCTGCTTACAGAAACTGCCTCTCCGGTTAACCCTTATTACATTGTAACAGCTAAGGAGAAGCGCCCATCAACCTGAGTGATGTTGAATTGGCCACGCCCAGCCAGTCATGACCACCGAGCCATGCCTGCCCAGCTGGTCAATAGGGCAGAGAACCAGTTGTTAAATTACTTGAATCCCACCACTGCTTCTGCCCCTTTTGTCCGTGTCATACGGTAGATTTTTATATAAGAGATGGTAGAAATTAGACAAGAGTAGTTTTTAATAATAAAGACTATTTCTTTTCTTCACTTGTCATCTCTCCTATTCAGCTTTATCCAGAACTCCTGAGGCTTTTAGTCTGTGCAAGTGCTTACTTTAGTTTAACTATAACTGTCCCGCCAACATACATACCTCTAAGAGCAATCTCCTTTCTTCCTCTCATTACTTTCACCTCCCCTCTCCTTGGAATGCATCATATCTGTTAATGAGATTTATGACTTTTTTTTCTCATCACCAGCAACCCACTTTATGCTGTCCTGAACAGCAGCCCTTTCCAGAGGTCCAGCGAACAAATAAAACACCATTGATACAGTACCTCTGTTTTTATAGGCTCAGGATATTGGCCAGTTCTTGGACAAAGAAGTGGATTCACTTGCTAGCCAAGTGAAATTGGGAGGGGCCACTGTTAATGAAGCGTGGCAAATCCGCAAGAACGTTGGTCATCTGACTGATGTGAGTAGTGCCTGCCTCAGAAGAATTCATGGGAGGTTTATTTTAGTACTGTCACATGACCTTATTCTCACATTATTCTTATTCTCTCATATTCTCCTAGTCATCAAGTAAGCTTATATTATCTGATACTTGTTGAATGAATGGAAATATTAGTATTAGTCTTTGATAGTGTAAATGTTTACTGAAGATTGGCCTTCCCCCCATTTGAGGTCAATATGTTCAGCATAGATACATGTGTCATTAATCTGGAAGAGTCCTGGTGGTGCAGTAGTTAAAGAGCAGCACTGCAGGCAAATTCTGCCGACAGCCTGAAGTTCAATCCTGACAAGATTCAAGGTTGACTCAACTTTCCATCCTTCCAAGGCCAGTAAAATAAGGAGCACATTGTTGGGGGTAATCAAATAATGCTTACATTGCAAATTGCCCAGAGTGTTGTAAAGTGCTTTGAGGCGGAATATAAGTGTAAATGTTATTGCTATTGCTAACCTGCTTGAAGGGCTTCATTTTTTCTCTCTGACCATCATCCTATTTCCCTTCCTTTGATTTCAGTAAAATGACTGGCCAGTAATACAAGCATGGAGTAGCATGCGGGAACTCTGATACAAACAGCCGACAGCTTTATAGGACCCACTAAAGACTTTTTTATATCAATGTACATCATGCCAAAATGTCTGTTTGAGAGTAAAATTAGGGTTCACTCACTCAAACAAATTCTGTCCTTTTAACTACAGAATTTTTTTTTTAAAAAAACAAATTTTCTGCCTTCAGCTGCATTGCTGGAAAATTATTTCTTTCCCCCATCCGAAAAAGAATCTAAGAAATGAAAAGGCATAATGGAATTGATTTGTTTTACAGAGGGTGGATATTACAAAGATGCCTCAGTGGCAGAAAAGGAAATTGCAGGCTACTCTCAAAACACTGCAGCAAGCAGCCAACAACGCCCATAGGAAAATGGAAATCAGACTGGTAAGGATCTAGCAATTCTTCATTTTATCAGGCATGACAGAATTTCATAGTAAGCTACAAAAAATTAAATAAGCAAAGAGCCATAATCAGCTATGAGGGCCAATATGCCAATAAAGCCAATAAAAACAGAATGTTAAACCCGATTGGGACGAATTCTGAGCTGGAGGTTTATTATGCTGACTTCAGATTGACAAATATTGTAATTACACATATGTATAGAAATACATTTTTAATAAATGAACAAGAAGTGTAGCAAGTGACACCATTCCTAAATGAAGCCACATCCTTCCATGATATGTAAACTATCATATACTTTGAATAACTCAGGGGACTGATCCAAGAGAAAATCCATGGCAGAATGCATAGCATTCTCCACCATTGGTCATGTTGGCTGGAACGTCTGAGACTTGCAGTTAACCAACAGATAGCTTCAGCTACTATATAGAAACAGAAGGAAAAATGTTGCTGAGATACTTGTTGTGGGGGAAGGTGAGTAATCTACTAGAACGAATTCTGAGTCTGGTTATCAGGATTCAGCTTGTGATAGTTTTGTGAGAAAGAAAACAAGAGCTCAAGAACAGATTAATAGTTTTTTAAATAAAGCATCCTCTAGAGATGAGGAGTCCTTTTTTATACTTAATTTCATGATTAGTTTGTAAAGAAAAAACCTAACTGCTTTCCATGATTATCCAACTTTAAAAATATTAGTGAGGAAATAGATCATTGGTACACTACACTACTCTATTCTGGTGTAATATGGAACTGTTAATTTTATATGTATATGCATATGTATACATATGTGTTATGTATATAAAAACTAGAAAATATGGATGTTTTATAACAACTGTTTTATTTTATACATACATAATCCAAAGGCTTATACTCTTGCAGCAGGGTTTCCTGTTTGTTTGTTTCTTTAATTGCTATTTTTAAAGTAGTAATTAATACAGATGTCACTGTGATATTTCATTGTCAGTATCACTTCTCTTATGGTATGCATTTTATGTCTGTTACCCAACCATTATTAATGCATTTTGTACATTCATTACTAGGCTGCAGAGAAGGTACAAGGCTTGCTGACAAAGTATTCCAATGAGCCAGTCATCATTGATACTATTTCTACTGAGTCACCCTATGTGAGTTTTAACCAACTGTGGATTTCTCTTAGAAAGCAGCATACCATGCTGAAGTTGTTTTGGCAATCAGCAGATTAAACTGGCTTCCTCAACTGTTAAGCAGTTTAGAGCAGAGGAAGGCTCACATCTGAACTGCTCAAATAGTTAGAGCGGGCTGGTTGGTTCTGAACCCTTTAATGATTAGTTTCCTCCTACTTTTACAATTCTAGAGTTATGTAAGCTAAAAATCTTCCTTTTGCACCTGTTGTTAATTTCTCCTCAGTCCAGGGTATCTCACACTGCTTTATAACATGTTACAATTTAAAATATTGAAGATTTCTTCTGCTTCTTAAATTCCCTGATTAAAACAATTAAGGTTTTGAAAGTGAAGTTTATATTTATCTCTTGATTCTGTCCTAGATCTTGATGAAAACAGTCAATCAATTGTGTAACAAAGTACCAGGGGCTTCTGTGATGTTGCTTAGCTCACAAGCAGCAGGCCAGGTGTTCTGTGCTTGTCAGGTATCCAAGGTAGGTGGAATTCCCTGTGATTCTGCAGTTTCCATTATTCTGAAAGGATACAAGCAAAATCTTCACATTCTTTGAATGAGAACAAATTTTGAAATTTGTTTTTTCATTAGAACGCTTTTTCAAAATTTTCTCTTAATGTCACATTTTTTTACTGGTCATTAGGGTCAGTAAAAATCATGATATGAACAGAAATTTTTAATTTTCATTTTTTTAAATGGCCCTAGTAAAGTACTAGAATGATGGTTTGGTGTAGAAGTTAACACATCAGGCTAGAAACCATGAGGCTGTGTATTCTAATCCTATCCTAGGCACAAAGGCAGGTGAATGACCTGGCTCGAGGGTACAAAAACACACAGTAAAAATAGTTCATTTTTCTCTCTTTTGAACAAATAGTAACATCTTTCAGTAGAATTACATCACCATCATGCCTAAACAATTTTATAAAAATGAATTAGTAGCTATGCAACATTCATATACGAGGTTATATGGTAGACAAATATTTCAGCTTTTCATTCCATTTCAGACTTTCACTTTTAGTTACATGTAGGAATCACATATTAGAGATTATTGTTGTTTTGCACTTACATGGTGTTGGAATTTGGCTAAACAAGTCGGAGATGCTAATTAAGGCAGGGTTAACATAAGAAAAGATGATCAGAAGAAATGATATTAAAAGAATGGTGGGCACTCTCAATATCCTGTCACTGCAACTATAGGTAATGAATTATTTCTTAATTAGCTTCTCTTTCGCTCATCCAAAATATATTATCCAAAGAATGTCCTCTTCTAAACAACCATATTAATTTACAATATTTTGTACTGCTTTCAGAAATACGTGAAATCTGATCTTTGAACGTACTAATATGTGAAAAAATATCAGTGGTAGTTGATTTATATCAGGATTTTTCTCTTAGAGATTACCGTATTTTTTGGAGTATGAGACGCACCAAGATTTTGAAGAGGCAAATTAAAAAATTTTGCACTCTGCAGACCTCCTCAAAACGGTCCATTTTTGGGCATGCGTAGCCTTTAGGAGGCTTGTAGAATGCTCCTGGGGGTTGGAGGGGAAAAACGAGCAAAAAAGGCCATTTTTCACTCATTTTTGCCCTCCCTAGCCCCCAGGAGCACTCTGGAAGCCTCCTAAAGGCTATGCATGGCCATTTTTGCAAAGGGGACAGGGTTTCGGGAGGCAAAAAATGCTGTATTCAGTGTATAAGACGCATCCAGATTTTCACCATCTTTTTTGAGGGAAAAGGGTGCGTCTTATACTCTGAAAAAATATGGTATTTAGATTGCCTTTATATACCAATAGTCCTTGACGTACTACCATTTGTTTAACAACTGTTCGAAGGTACGACAGTGCTGAAAAAAGCAACTTGTGAGAGTCACAGCATCCCTGGGGTCACATGATCAAATTCACGCATTTGGCAATTAGCATGCATTTATGAAGATTGCAGCATCCCAGGGTCACATGATCATCATTTGTGGCCTTCCTAGGCTTCCAACAAAATCTATGGGGAAAGTCAAATTTGCTTAAGGACCCCACGATTAATAACCATGGCAACAAAATAATAAAATCAAGTGTGACTCAATGACCTCATCAGTTAGCGACAGAAATTCTGTTTCCAAATGTGGGAATAAGCTACCTTAAATCAATCCATGCTTGATTTCCCTTAATGTCTAACAAAGATTGCAAATTGTCAAATTATTGTCATTTCTATATAAAATGGACAAAAGTGTTTTTTTTTTCAGTCTCAATTTAATTCATCAATATTTTCTTGCCACAGACCATTTACTACCAATAAACCACCACCTGTCTATCTTTAGATACCACCTTCTGTCTATCTTTAGATACAGGCAGGATATAAAGATTAGGCAGGATAGACGGACGGACAGACAGACAGACAGATATCCTACATATCCTGCCTAATATATTTATACCTTGCCTAAGGCTGAGAGAGTGAAACTGGCCTAAGTACTTAGTTTTCCAGTCAAACACACACATATACTTCCTCTAATTTTCTACTATGTAGATATAATTTGCAATTATTCACTCCATTTTTCCATATTCCTGACTAACAGCTTTATTTTGGTTTTTATTACCTTAAATTTTCAGAATTTTATTCCTTGTTTCCTCATACAACCTAATATTCATAAGAAATCATGTAGGCTCTCAACTGACAACAAAATATCATCTACATACAAAAGTACATATAGTCCATAATTCAGGACTATTCATATTATCATACACTTTCTCTAAATCAATTAATGCACAGTGCAGTTCTTTTTTCACATGAATACATTTCTCAATTACCTGCTGCAGAGCAAAAACCCAATCTTCATTCTTGGCAGTTCATCTATGTTCTATTAATTTGTTCCCCTTCTCATAGAGTTTATTATCAAAGGCTTCTGCAGCTGACTGGGCTCTCGCTGTCTGTACTCAAATGGGAGGCAAAGCCGAAGGTTCTGGAGTTGTAGCGAAAGGCATGGGGAAGACCGATGATGTACAGATGGTACTGGCGGCAGCCCGGGAATATGCAAAGAATGTATTTTGATGCTTGCTTGTGAGGAATTTGGATGTTCACTTGAATTACAGGGAATCCTAATGAGATTTGTACATTATGGTCCTGCAACCTTTCGGATTCTTCTGTATTACTGGACTGGTAGAATGAGCTGCTTTGGCTAGCCAATGTAGATAAATAACTTCCTTTGACCAGTCATGCGAGGACAAGGCAAGTCAACCATACATGTAAATATAATCAACCTCTCAGAATAGCCGCTAAGAAAGAAATAATATATTTCTTTGACAATAAAAGATATAAGTTGGCTGACTGCAAGAACATGTTTTTTTATACAATAGAACAAAAAGTTTCGTATGCTGTCTCATTGGAACCATTTTTCTGACTATGCAATGGAGCAAATTATTTCCAGGCAAGTATGCTATCTAGCCTTTCTCTGGCTGGTTGTACAAATTTTGCAAGTAAGAATTACTTTGAAGGGAGCTTTTGCTGTTTAAAGCACTTCACACAAATAATAATTCTGGTGCAAACCACTCTGAACTTCTTATATCCAGATTCATCCTGCCAGGGTTTCCTAATCATGCCTGGATTAATTTTAAATAGGTCACATTTACCACTTTTTTTCAACTCAATTTTTTATCCTATCCTTAGCCTTTTTATATTGCTCAGAAATCAAGACAATTTGTTAACCTTACAATATTTTTTGGGGCACAGGGGGTGGAGAACTTGGGGTTTTCAGAAAAACACTTGTAACAGACCAATTGATGAACAAAAATATAAAATTTGAGCTCACCCTTCATGAAGTCTCATAGTACCTGACCCTTTAAAGCCTCAATTGCAGGACTGCTCTCTTGCCATTTGATGGAAAGTATCAGCTGAGACTTTCCCATAGACTCAGGGTCTAGCCATGAAATGTTTTTTATAAAAAAAGACTGATGCTGCAAATTCATAATGGGAGCTAATGAATCCTTCCTGGAAAAAGCACAACCTCTTATTTATTTACAAATTCCAATCTTCCTAAAAGTGTTCCTGGTGATATTTTGGCAATCAGGATTTTGAGTTTTCTTAACTAAATTTCATTTCATTTATTGAATTTCTATGCCGCTCAATCCTGGAGGACTCCGGGCGGCTTACAGAAATGAAAAAAAGAATTTAAAAGAATTATTAAAACAATGGGACACAACAAGTTAAAAAGGAACACAACAGACCCCCAATCAGACGGGGCTGGACCACCATCAAGGGGTCAACAGCCCCAGGCCTGCCGGAAAAGCCAGGTTTTAATGGCTTTGCGAAAGGCCATGAGTGGGTAGGGCCTGGATCTCCGGGGGAGCTCATTCCATAGGGCCGGAGTGGCAACAGAGAAGGCAACAGTAAATGGTACATTTCTGTTAAATTACCCCTATCAACAACAAAGAAGGAAAATACATACATGTATGTGTGTCCTTAATTGCAATCAAGCACTGTCCCAATACATGTTTAACTAGCAAACCTATAGAATGTTTTACAATGTAGAGTCTTGGGAACTATATGAAGGCACCTTTCTTCCTTGCTTCAATCAGCACTGGTACATTGGAAGTGAAGGAAACTCAAAATCATTGGGTTTGTTCATGCTTCTGAAAACAGCAGAGCTAATGTTCAAGATGTCTTTGTTTGGATTCTGTGAAGCAAAACAAACAAAATGTTTGTGTTGTAATCTTCCATCAGTGTCATCAATAAAGGTAAAAGTTCCCCTTGCACATATGTGCTAGTCATTCCCGACTCTATGGGGCGGTGCTTATCTCCGTTTCAAAGCTGAAGAGCCAGCACTGTCCGAAGACATCTCTTTGGTCATGTGGCCAGCATGACTAAACACCAAAGGCACATGGAGCGCTGTTACCTTCCCACCAAAAGTGGTCCCTATTTTTCTACTTTCATTTTTACATTCTTTCGAACTGCTAGGTTTGCAGAAGCTGGGACAAGTAATGGGAGCTCACTCTATTATGCAGCACTAGGGATTCGAACCGCCAAACTGCCAATCTTTCTGATCGACAAGCTCAGCGCCTTAGCCACTGAGGCCATCACATCCCTCTATAGTATTATCAATATGGTACTATTAAAAAGGAAAACAATTTTCACATAAAAGCTGTGTCTATGTCTATTGTGTCCCTATGTACCATATTTTCTGGAGTATAAGATGCACCAGAATATAAAATGTACCAAGATTTTGAAGAGGAAAAAAATTTTTTAAAGGTTTTTGACCTCTGCAGACATCCCAAAAACGGCCCTTTTTTGGCAAAAACAGACCTGTTCCCCCCCCCACTCCAAAAAAGGGCATGTATAGCCTTTAGGAGGTTTGTAGTGTGCTTCGGGGGGGGGGGGAATGAGTAAACAATGGCCTGTTTTTCATTCATTTCTGCCCTGCCCAGCCCCCAGGAGCACTCTGAATGCCTCCTAAAGGCTATGCACAACCATTTTGATGAAGGGGGCAGTTTCAGGAGACAAAAAATGCTGCATTCAGTGTACAAGATGCACCCAGATTTTTAGCCTCTTTTTTGAGGGAAAAAGATGCGTCTTGTACTCTGAAAAATACGGTATTTATTGAATTTATTTGCTGCCCATCTTGTAACAAAATGACTCATGTGCACCATTTAGATATACATTTATAAGCCATAATGCTAGTTTCGCCACATTTTATATTTATGTTCCAGCTAAACATTATGTCAATAGTGTTTTGCTGATTTTTCAATTAAACCATGGCCCAGAATTTCAAGAAATTACTGTTAGCATTACAAATCCTTTATGTCATTTTTACATACTTTTTAAAGACTTTCATTAAATCTAATAATAACAACAATTTCTTGACTAAATAATAGTGGTATGCTATTAATAACAAACATTTTGCAATAGGCCTTAAGCTACCTACAGGTAAAATAAAAACTTAATGTAATTATAAGAAGAGGAACATGTTAATTTGGATTGTCCTTCAATTTGCTTTTATTTTTTCCATAATACCTAGCCATTTCCGTGGAATTTTTTCTAGTGATGCACTTAATAGTTTTATTTTAGACAAGCAGTACTTTGAACACTGTCCACATTGCCCGGGAAATCATCTCTTGCAGAGAAAATGCAATGTTCAAATCACTTTAGTAATGAGAAAACCCTGTTCCTGTAGATGTGATAAAACTACTTTCATCATCTCTAACCTAGTATTTTATGGGAGTTGGAATCCATCAACTTTAGAGGATATATTCCATAATTTTATGTCAGCCAAAAATTTATAAGACCGACGGCTATATAAATAGTTTAAATAAATAAACAAACCTGTTTTAAAGCTCCACTACCACCAGAGATTCTAAATTATTTAAGTCTATTTAGCAGCAAAGAGTACCATGCCCCATACACACCTGTACTACAAGGCCTTCACTGATGGAGAAAGAGTATATAAAACCATTCTGTGACTTGCTTTCGTTGTCGTCTTTGGGCTGCTGGAGTGGTGGCAGCCGAAGAGAACATGGCGATTCATTGAGCTTGGCCTGTCTCTTCTGCAGCAGCAGCTGATTTCTCAGCACTAGACGAAATAAAAATAGCAGTTACAAAGCTATTTTTGTTTAACCTACGTGGAAAGCATTGTATCCATGTTGCATCAAGTTTCAATGAAGGGATCTGAAATGTACCATCAAAATGCTGACGGAAACACTAAAAGGGAGTGAACATGGATAAAAGTTGGAAAGTGCAATATGGCTTTATCCTGTACAAGGGATTGTGGAAACTGATTTTTTGCTGTTTGGTATGTTATTGAGAAATTTAAATATAGACAACTTTACTGGGCATTTCTTGATTTAGACAAAGTATGAGGAAAATTGAATCAGCCTGAATTATGAAATACTTTGCATGTTTATGTAGCTGGGTGCTACTACAGGACAGAGCAGCAAATAATGGAAATAAAGCATATGTGAGAATAAATGTAACCCCTAATGAATTGTTCAGCATTGTCTCCTTGGTTGTTCAGTATATTTATGGATATGTTTGTAAGGTATACTTGTGGCGAAGATAGATGTTACGTTGGTTGGGGATGTAAATATCAGACCGGAGCAGGCAAACAGGTAGTGGCAGCGGTGGGAGGCTCCACCCACCCACCCGGATGCTTCTGTGCATGCGCAGAACTGCCACTCATGCACAAGCATGAGCAAACCGGTAGCACTAGGATTTGCAACCTACCTCTGGTAAATATATGTGTATTGTTACTTGCAGATAAAGCTCATTGATTTGCAATGAATGTTAACTTCTACAATTCAAGAAGGACTATGGATTTTAAGGTTAATGTGATGCTTTAGTTGTGGTGACGAAAGTGGAGAGACAAATTCTAATGTAAACATACTGTGATATGATTTATTTAAAAAGGAGACAGCACAATCACTATATGTTTATGTTTTTTCTTCATTTTCCACATGACAACAGACCTACCTGGAACTCTTTGTGCACTTGCCACAGATCTCTTGAGCCAGTGTTTTTGAAAGGCAGCCCAATATGGCATTAGCATGCTGGAGACTGAATCCTTCAGACTGTCAAATAAACTTGGAGGCGGAATCTCCTTTTGGAGGGCCTGCTCAGCTGCTCGGATAGCTCTGCCCAGCCTCTTATTATCTACAGCCACCTGCAGGGCAAGCCACAGACATTTAGCATTCTGCATGACAAGATTATCCCTGGAACTATATAGCTCTTTCTTCCTTTTCCTCTCCAGTCACACAGTAAGACACAGATCTAATTATTTTGAGGTCAACTGTATGATCTCCTATTATTTTCCTGCAATTTTGACCTCTGTTGGGATGGAATCTGATTTCTCTGCTAGAATTACTAAAGCAGCAGTAAATGATCAGCCAGGACATTCTCTAGATAAAAGAAGCTGAAATAAATTTAGCTAATGGAAGGCAGATGATGGCATTTCATTATTTTGGAATTGCTTCTTTGGCAATTCCAGGAATACTGACTGCTAGATTGTTAGGCTTCTCAGTGCATCTTGGAATATTTTCTCTGAAACTTTTGGTGCTATTGTTTTGACTCCTAGTCCCTTTTGGCTTTGTACAGATTCCTGGGCAGTATCAGTGATGCTAATTTCTTTCACAGATACTTATGTGATTAACATTTATTTGTAAAAAATATATTACCTCCATTCCTCTAACCACTCAAAGCAGCCTGCAAGCAACAGTTAAATATCATAATATGTCAAACATTAAAAGGTCTAGTAAATAGATCTGTTTTGAGGCCAACACTAAATTGTAGGATGGCTTCCCCTGTTTCAATTAAATACCAAGGAAAATAAAATGAAATCTATTTTCCAGTGAACCATTTTCTGTATTGGTGTACTATTCTCTGCTCTTGAGAAATTGTTGAACAATTTCATTTCTTTTGGAAACCTTTGAAGAAAATATTCTCTGCCAGAAATTTTGGCGGAGTGTTTTAAAGATCATAATGTCCGTCCATGGGTATTTCTCTTTAATACCAACAGTGTAGCGATCAAGACAATTTGTCCTTTATCATAGATCAGGGGTGTCAAAGTGGTGCCCCACAGGCCAGATGCGTCATGCTTAGACCACGCCCATCCCAGTTCCGCAAATGGGGGAAATGTCATGAAACATCATGTGATCACATCACGCCGCAAGTCTGACACCCATGCCATAGATAGTATGAGCACTTTTACATGGAAGTGAGATAATCATTTATATCCATCAGGTTGGTGGTAAGAAATTATTGGCAAAAATACAAAGAAACTATTTTAAATTTGCTTCCCTATACTAATCAATTCTTACCAACCAACCTGTTAAATAGACCACTCGACCTGGGGAATAAAAATACCATTGACATTGTGGGCTCTTACCTGTAACCGAGGCTCAATCTGAGATGCAAGGAAACACTCACGTATCACAAGAACCTTTTTCTTCAGAAGAGTCATGTCAGGCCAGTCATGATGAGCATTTTTAAATTTCTGCACTTCCAGTAGAAAATGCAAGCCACTCTCCAGCACAGGTGTACCACATACCTGGAGGTGTTTAATGAAATGGAGCATCTCCACAGTGGGCCAGCCTTCGGCAGCCTCTTTTAGAGACTGCCAAAAAGAGTCTTTGTCTTCCCTTGTAGGTTTTGCTGTGGCTGCTGATGCATCTTGTGCTTCCCTGTTCCTTATATGCCTAAGAGCTACTTTTCCAGCTATCACATTTAGGAATGGTTCCAGCTTGCACCAACGTTCTTCTGTAATCTGAGAAGGCACCAGTCCATATTTCTTCAACCCTTCACTCATCTCATCCCAAAACTGCTCAAAAGTAGGAACAACCAGGGAACGTAATAAGAGCTGGATTTCATTCCAGGTGGCGTCAGTAATTTCTCCCTGGGCCACTTCTTCCTTTATTCTTTTCTTCAGTTCTTTGGGGAAGGGAATGCTAGATCTCAAAACCCCCAGCTTGTTCCACATATCTAGAAATTTTACTGCACAATTCACTTGTTTTTCAGGTGCTGGGACTTCCAAACAGGCCTCCATTTCCTGTAGCAGTCCTAAAACCATCTGAAGCTCTACATTCTGCATTTTACAAGCTGCCTTTTTGTACACATTTAAGATAACTGGGTTGCTAAGAAAATCTGGCACATTTTGAGGGGTGGGTGAGTCCTGAAGAACTGGCGATTTTTCCCTACTTCCTTGGTCTGTACTGCTTATGCTGGGAGATTTGGAAACCACCCCTGTGGGAGATTTGGAAAGCATCTTCTTTTTACCCCCTTTCCCGTGTAACCCTCTTTTTTCTGAGCCATGAATATAGGTGTTTGGTTTCTGCTTCTTTATCCTGTAGGCAGAATGGCATATAAATAAAAGCTAGTACACCAGTTCTCACAGAATTTCCTCTTACAGAAAAAGATACAAATATTCAGTTAAAATATTGCCATTGAATGAAACAATATTATTGATGTACAAAGAAAACATTCATGTTTAAGAATAAATGGCACAAATGTCCTAAATGCAATGACTTCTGGCTTCTGCAAAATTCATTCTGCAAAATAAATTCTGGCTTTAAAACTTTTACATTTCACGTATTATTTGGTAAAGGATGAAACAGCAGCAGAAGGCAAAGGATAAAAGAAAACACGGCTGAGAAATCACTCTGGGCAGAGAGGCAGAAGCTGGGATGTATGTAAGCCCTATTCTTTCAACCCTAGAAGTCGCCAAGGTCAAAACCAATTTCATTTGCAGATTCCTTTCCTCTATAACCACGAAGGCTAGAAATTAAAACTCATTATGTCAAAACTGGAACAATTAAATTCTGAATTGTGCTAATTGTTTGTTGTACTTTAGTTTCCATTTGGTAGTAATAATTGAGTTATTGCAAAGAATAAACCTCTGAACTGCCAAATATTAATCTAATTGCTGACTGTCCACTTCCTTCAACATCCTAGTCATACCTTTAGAAATTAACACTAACTACTAATTTACTTTTGAGATAACAGTACAATCTTATGGCCATCTCCGTAGAAATCCTCCTGAGTTAAACTACATATTCAAGTAAGTCTATACAATAAACTTCAATATATAAAATCTGTTTTAAAACTTTGATATAATTTGAAGATATGCCACCATATGGGCATCCAGGCTACCAAAGTAACCTTTCATTTCCACAAAGGTTTTGAATACCTCCCAATTCTGTCCTGATTGCTTCTATGGTCTTTGCTTTCAGAATTTTTGACATCCGAATGAGATATTGGAACACAGTATCTGTAAGAAAGAAAAAATAGCTAAGAATATATTTAAGTTATTATTGGAGTGTTTACAAATTATTTGTAATGAGTTTTCTTTCTTGACCAAGTTATATGTATCTTGTAATTTGTTAGATTAAAGAACTCTTAAAATCTCCATTAACATAGCAAAAATCACTACCAACCTGCCTTCCATTGAGGACCTGTACACTGCACAAGTCAAAAAAAGGGCCATGAAAATATTTACAGACCTCTTGCATCTTGGCCATAAATTGTTTCAACTCCTACCCTCAAAACTATAGAGCACTTGTACACCAAGACAACTAGACACAAGAAGAGTTTTTCCCCGAACCCCATCACTCTGCTAAACAAATAATTCCCTCACCACTGTCAAACTGTCAAACACCAAGGCTGCATTACTATTACTATTAGTCTTCTTGTCGTTCCTATCACCCATCTCCTCCCACTTATGACTGCAGGACTGTAACTTTGTTGCTTGTATTCTTGTGATTTATATTGATATTGTTTCCTGATTGCTTATTTGTATCCTATGACTCATTAAATGTTGTACCTTATGATTCTTGACGAATATATCTTGTCTTTTTATGTACACAGAGAGCATATGCACCAAAGACAAATTCCTTCTGTGTCCAATCACACTTGGTCAATAAAGAATTCCATTCTATTCTATTCTATTCTATTCCATTCCATTCTAAAACCAACATTTGGACTTGGCCATTATCTACACAATATTACATAAAGATTCAATTTATAATGTTGCAGGTGCATAATCTTTGAAATATCTGCCATCAGGAAATGCATACAATTTTCAGAATATTCAGAATAGGACATCTTGGCACTCACTCAAGGAAAGTTGTGATTTCATGGCGAACATAATGGAGCCACGCTCCACCCAGAATAGGCAGCACATATTGAATCATGGGTTGAAAAGCAGAAAATGTCAAGTCTCCACTGCCAGTGGAAAGAATTTTCTCAAGATGCTGGATGTAGTCTAGCATACTGGAACTAAGCTCTGCAGAGAAAGGAGAATCAGAGCACAAGAAGACTCCACCTTCAAAGAATGTGTTCATAGGCCAAGTGCCCCCAAATAATTAGTAAATGAATAAATCCAATAAATGTTGAAAATAAAAAGTGAGCAAAACATTTTATTATGAAATACGATATCAATGTATACAGCATGATTCACACCATAGCAGTTTACAAGTAGGCTTTAATTAAGGTTACCAAGAATAACAATCGATTACTATAGAACTAATATCAGTCTCTACAGCCAGGATATCCTGTACCCAACCTACAGAAAGGGTCTTCCAACAATATATTATATATCTTACTTTCTCCACTCATAAAACACTCATACTACTATCACTGAAACTCATTTTTTATTCTAATCTAGTGTAGGAACAACATATTTAAATCAACGTTGCCCATCTATCTGTTTCTGTCTCAGCTTCAAAAATACAAGATGACATGGCATAAAGAACATTGATTTCACATTCTAAAGACATCTGCCCCCATATTCAAGCCCCTACATTCTGGGTAGTGATTCTTTCCAGTTTGGTAGGCTTTTTGCAAAGGGGACTAGTATGATTAAATCAGATTCTTTCCTATATTCCCTTCCAATACAGCTCACCTGAATTGCATTCTGTGCAAGTGGCCAGAAACCTATGAAAAATCTGCCAGGCTAAATTCTGTACTTCAGATAGGTTTGCTTGGTTCTCCTGTGCATTTTCATAACATTTTAGCTTCTTCCACAGCAACAGATGATTAATCTTTTGTGGATCCTCAAACCTGGAGAGGTAACATGAAAGGTATCTACTTCAGCATAAAGTGAACTGTAGGACTTCTGCCTAACCAAGAAAGGGATGTAAAAGCCAGCCGATCAGCATAAGCATCATGCTTTTTTCAGAAGATTTTCACAATCAAATATCCACCTATGGGTTATAAATAAAGCACGATAATGAAATAAGGGACACCAAAAGCAGCTGAGAAACTCACCGAGTCAAGTAGTGAAGGAAACCATCCCCATCTCCCAGATCGCACATCAATGCCTCAAGAAATCGAATGGTTGTCAGTGTTTCAAAGGAGTCTTTAAGAGAGCCTAACAGTCTATTTGACCCAGTTCCTTTTCTGCTTTTCCTAAATGATGAAACCAAAGTTGAATTTTCAGGCTCTTTCTGCTATAGAGGACACGAAATCAGAACTGCATTCAGATTTTCCTAAACTATTCTAAGACCTGTTTAAGAATAAAGCAGAATTACCAGTATGGGTCATTAAAACCAAAAAGTTTGCTGTCATTTCCCAATAGAAGCAACCTTGATCCAAGGTGTGTCCAACCTTGGCAACTTTAAAGACTTCTGGACTTCAACACTCAAAATTCCCCAGCCAGCATGGGATTTGTTAAAGTTGCCAAGGATAAATACCCCTGCTCTAGAGTATTTCTTTCTTCTTGGTTTATTTCTATACTGATTTTCCTCCTGAAGAAATGGTTGACAAGAAACAGCTACAGGTGAAACCATCACGCCACTGTCAAAGTTTAGGGAAACATAAATTTTCTTGACAGCTGCCACAGCATTGTAACAGAAATTTAAACAGTTTTTATATAGCCTCCTTTCTGCATTTCTACTAACAATTGGAAAGGACAGAGCAAGCTTTTCATTTGTCAGTTACTGAATACTGTTAAGTTTTTCTGCCAAAAAATTGGCCTTGTAATATTATTTTCATTTGCACTAAATATTATCATGTATTCATTAGATTTACATTCCAAATTTACACAAAGCAGCATAGATAGCACTTCTCCCTCTGTGTTTTGCAGTTGTTGTTCTTTTGCACAGCATCAACCTTGTGAGGCAGGCTTCACTAAGAAATAATGATCAGCGCAAAATTAGCAAGTGAATTTCCTCAGGATAGGATGCTTAAGGATAAACCACATCCTATTACAACAAAGGCTTTGTAATGTGCACACACCCACACCCAGATCATTTAAATAACCACACAAATGTAGACATTGACTACAGATCTTGAGCAGTTAAGGGCAATTAGTTGATTATTTATTTTAGCAATAGCATTTAGACTTGTATACCACTTCATGGTGCTTTACAGCCCTTTCTAAGCAGTTTACAGAGTCAGCCTATTGCTCCAACTATTTGGGCCCTCATTTTACTGACCTCGGAAGGATGCACTCAACCTAGAACCGGTGTGAGAATCGAACTGCTGATCTGCTTTCAGCTGGCAGTCAGCAGGAGTAGCCTGCAGTACTGCATTCTAACCACTGTGTCATCACAGCTCTAATTTTAATTTTATTACAAATTTAATATATAATGATATAATAAATTAAATGATTAGGCTGCAAGGGGAAGAAAGCCATTGGCAGGATCGCAATAAAATAACCATCATTATTAAAAAATAACACAAGCTAGCGCTTCTGTTTTATGGACCGGAACTCACATCATTTTCCACTCTTTGTTTCTTTTCATGTAGTTCACCATGTCCTTTTGGTCGCCCATAGCAGGAAGCATTGTGGCCATAGGCAAAGAAAACGGGAAACCGCCACTCCAGAGAAGCTCCTCTTCAATAGGCACCTCGGAACTGGGTTCAAACCTATAAAAGTACTAAGTTGAACTGACAAGGTATTTTAGATTAAATCAATATTTATGTTGGTTAAAACAATAAAATGGGGGGGGGGGATGTAACTAAACTCCACGACAGAGTAAGCAAGAATAAAACATGGGACCAACTGTGTATTAAACAGTTAATGCTTTAAGGCCATTTTATTTTTATTTATGCCTATAGCCCAACTCCAAAAGCTAAGTGATCCATCTTAGCACAAACCTTAACTACCTGATTCTCTGATAGTGAATTAGAAATCGGGAAACCCAGTAAGAACGCAATCGTCTTAAGGCATCATATTGTTTCCTGCTCAAGGAAGCAAAAGCTGTCTCCTCTTCCCCTATACTTTCCTCGAGGTGTTCCTGGAGATGAAGAGAAAACATGTCGCATGCATAAAATAGAAACTAAGTTCCACTTTACACATGCATATATATATCAATGGTTGCGATTGCTGCCACTTCTGAAATTACTGCAATAAAGTATCTGGCACATAGGACTTTGTAAAAGAAAAATCCAGAACAAACTTCTCTTGTTTAAAAAGTAAGCCTAATCTACTATTACATCATGGGATTAATATTTATCTTCTTAAATATGCCAGATTAAAAAGAAAATGAAAACAATAGCTACATGTTAACTATCTTCTAAATGTTGAATTAAATTGATTGCCAGTGTAATCCTTTCATAACTGTTGGAAGTCCCTATTGTAAAGTGAAAAACAAGTCTTTTGATAGCCATATAGCAAAGTACTAAGATAGAAGACATTCCCAAGAAACCTAGGCAATAGAAGGATTCCATGATAATTCTGATTCATGGGGGAAAAAATCTCACGGGACAGAACCTACAATTCAATTATGCAAGATATTTCTGCACAGGAAAGCTACAGGAGGCAAAGAACAAGCCTCCGAATCCTGCTTTCTTAGCTGGCTTAGCTAGGTTTCTGATTACTTAAGCTATAACCTGGACAAAGGGACTTGCATTCCAGCTGAATTACTCACTTGAAAAGCAGGAGGGACGGCCAGTCTATACTTGGCTTGAATATCCCTGTCAAAAGAAGAGCAGCAACATAAACTCCACTTACATTGGAATATTTCCCTACTTGCTACTGTATAAAAATATATTTATATTTCATTTTTATTTATTTTTTTAAAAAGAGGATGGTCAGTATTTCATACATGATACTAGCACTGCACCTTACATTCTGATCATGTAGCACAGTTTATAAGATTATTCCCTCTACTCTTAAAGGAAGGTAAGAGTCTGCCACAACAAGCCCACAAGTTTGCAATTCATGAAGATCAGTTAGTGCACCTCACCCTCCACAATCTCCTCCAAATTATTTGTCCCTATATTTCAGGTTTCTCAAATATCCCAGGGAATAAAAAGAACAAGCTGGATTTTTTTGTATTGTACAGCATACATAGCCACAGTATATCACCCAATTATATATATAAAAAAGTGAACTCCAGATTGTACAGATTGCAGCTATCCTCTTCTTAGAAGCTCAAATCATCAGAGCCGGAGATAAGGAATAATATTTCTCCTCTTTGTGCCTTATTACTATTTCACATGGAGAAAGCAAATGAATAAGCAGCAGCAACCAGGAGCTACAACAAGGCCAGAATGAAGTAATGAAGGAGGCAGTAATTAATAGATACTCATCAATGACATGATGCTGGCATCTGTGCAGGAACTAGATTGAACAAGTGCTTATAAAAACCCATGTCTCTTGTTTTTAGTCCATTAATTAGTTTAAATCATGATAAAAGTAACCCCTGAGGACTGAGAAAGATATTCAAGATCACATTGCTGGGCTTCCAAATGGTCTGCTATTTACCTCCTCATAGTTAAGAAAAACAGACAAAATTATGCAATCAGGTTTTTTTTCTTCCTTTAAAATTTTAATGGAACGAAGTTTTGCTTTTAGGTCTATACCAGGGGTTGGCAAAAGGTGACTACAAGTTCAGTCATGACAATGCATGGTATTTGCAAACTTCAGATTAGAGTTTAAATGATAAAATTTTGAAACAGCAATTTTCTTAGACTTGCTTAATTTTTATTTAGATTAAAATCCTGCAAGACCTCACACAGTTGCTGTTAGGGTCCCAAATAACAACCCCATGGCAATCAAAACTCTGAGGCATAGAGCTTCCTCAAAGCATAATTTTATTTGGGGTGTCATATTGGCACAGCTGGTGAAAACCTGACTCTGAAGGACCCAGGGTTTTCCTCACCCAAATCAAAACCCAAAGTTCTTGCCCCTTCCCAAGGTCACATGTCCATCACATGGACCAATCAGGTCACAGTCCCAACTCCAGCTGGCTTTGGTCCACTCCCTTCCAATACCTGGTAGAGCATTCTTGGCTCCCACGGGAAAGAATGCTACTTTGGCTAAACATCACCAAAGATATCTCTATCTTCCCCCCCACACACATTCCCACAGCTCCATCAGGCCTTGCTGTGGCAGCCCTGAAGATGTTCCCAAAATGGTTTCATGGTTGACAGTTGCAAGAATTGGCTTATATTTAAGAAAACTCATTGGTGTGCCTACCTAAAAGGTGTGCCTTCCTACTATCAAATGTTGCCTTGAAGGCAATTTGCTTTCCACTAAGTTATTTATTTCATTTCATTATGCTTTAAAATAAATATATATATATACATATACATACATACATACATACATACATACATACATACATACATACATACATATATATATATATA